TTAATTTGTATTTTTAAATAAATTCGCAATACTTCTTTCACTAGGAATTCATATGTAGAATATCGTTTATTATTTTTATAATAAAAATATTCAAATTTTCCTTACTTTTCTTGTGAAAATTTAGTTGCCAACGTTTTTTTTTATTAATATACTTCGGATTTGATGATGTTTGAAGCTAATTAGTTTTCCTAACTTTGTAAATTTTAATTTGGTTATATCATGATTATTTGTTGATATCTTTTACTTAATGTTACTATATTCAATATGTTACATGGACATTCAGGTCGCAGTGGTGAAATACTAGCGGTCCCATACTTTAACGTCTGTATGACAAACAAATTGATATCAAAATTAAAAGGAGCATGAGATATTATTTAGAAGATACAATGATGTTTTAATAAGATACATCTTCAAGTGTGATGCAGAACACTATTTGAACTTAATGCAACTGAAAAATATATGCTTTGAAATAGCATTACTATAGCTCAACAAGGAAAAAACAAAAATGTGCTTCGTCAGTCTCGATCCATGGGGTTCTCATGTTCGGGGCAATGTGAATGCAGAGACTTGGAAGAGAATAACGTAGTGAGGAGTTCAAGGAGATCTGCAAAAAGTTGAGGCCAATGTAAAGGCGCTGCATCCCGTGGCTAGTCGATGGGTCGGGATGATCAGCTTCGCTCGTCCCGCATTCACGCGAGTCTTCTACACCGACCTTGCAAGGGGTCGCTCTTCTACGGAGAGTTTGGCAAACTCGGAATCTCGACGACATCTCGTCAAATGGGGAAGAGCAGGCGTGTTAATTTCGCTTTGATCCTGCCTTGAAAATTTCCAAGAAATGATATGATCAAGTCGTGTTAATCAAGAACGCCACATTATATTCTTAAAGATGATAATTCCTATGAAACTAAGGAATGTTTCAAGAGACATCCAACGTTTCTGCAATAAAAGAAGAATCTGAGAGTCATTTTTTCTCACTTAATCCTAATACTGAAGCGTAAACATACATCAACCCTTGACTTAGATGAACAACAAGAATGCAATAGGTACAGTGTGATAACCGAGAACAAGCTACATGAAAGGTAAACACTTAAACCACGTGATGCAACAAATGCAGAATAGCTGAAAGAGACTCCATAAACTGTCAGCAAGATCTTTGGCGAACTTGATTACGTCTTCAGCTGATTCCGCATATGGATCTGCCATGATTGCTTGGGTCGAGACTTGTTTGAGGTAGTTGACAGGATGTGTCACGCCCAGAACCCCCATCGAGCTCGCGACATCCCTCTCTCAGGTCGTATTAGTGCGACATCCCAGGAAACGTCGCCGACCTCACGATTCCATCAGAGTTCGATCACGGTGGAAACCAATGAAATAAACCCGGACAATAAAATTTGAGAACACCAGGAAGAAATAAATTACCAAGCCACCAAACATAAAACTATACCTCGATATATAAATATACAACATCCAAATCTTTACAACCAAACACTTCCAACACCCATCAGATTCACATCAACAGATAGTACACACCCGAATGGATTTCCTGATTACACCAACTATTCACATCAATCACTCCCTAATTTAATATCAAATTTATAATACACGCACACCAACTGGCTTCTACGGATCACGTCCTCGACCTCAAAAGGGATCAGCAACCAAGGTATATTCCACTCCTGAATGCTCGGTGTGCATCGGGATCTCAAAACGCTGCGGCGGTGGCTGCGGAAGGTTCAAGGCTCGGGCGGGTGCTCTGAAATAGTTTTGGTTGAAACAACTATGAGACACTTCTCAATAAGTCACAACCTAAACCCTACCTAGGCTACCACGTATTCCAGCCAAGTCCAGACACCGAATCAAGCAACACACAAACAACATCCACACAATCGTACTAACAATCACATGCGATCCTACCTGGGATCCATCATGCACATCCCTGCAGGTCAAACAATAATATAGCCAATTCATTTATATCCATACTCATCCAACACCATATCACGTGAGGCAAACCACACTCACACACTAACTCACGCCATGCGTCGACTTTCACAAACCTCATGCGTCAAACCAAATCCAGCTCACTCTCAACTTTTCCACCACTACCGCGCCCGCGTAAAACGCATCAGGCCAACGGTCTTCTGACCTCGTCAGGCATCGTCACCCCGTTGGGCCTGGCATCGTCACCTCGTCAGGGACGGCATCGTCCCGCGTAAACGAACACGCCTCAGGACGGAACTTACCCCGCGTAAACGAACACGCCTCAGGGTATCACTTTTCCAACCAATCCTACATTCCCGTACCTTCGTTCCACTCATTTCACACGTATCACACGGCCACACGTACACACAGCCACACACAATCTCACGCCTCACACACATTCGCATTTAATTCCGTGCACACAATTGCACCCAATAAATCACAACCACACAGTCATATCACAAAACACACGATCAACACACCAACTGGCATTTTTCCACACCCAAACGTTATCAAATCAGTTCAGGCCGTTCACAGCATTTTCACAAAATCTCGAGCCGAACCTAACAGTACCAACCACACAACAAACAACACCCCACATCACATAGAACCACACATCACAGCCATCAATCAGCCTTTTTCGCCCTCAAAATCACCATATCTCACTCCCGGCTCTTCACGATACTTTCACGAAATTCCGAGCCGGACCTAACAGTACAAACCATACGCCCATCAGCACATCACAACACATAGAACCACACATCACAGCCATTAATCTGCCATTTTCACACTCAAAATCGCAATATTCCATTCCCGGCTCTTCACGGCACTTTTATAAAATTCCGAGCCGGACCTAACAGTACCAACCACATACCCAACAGCACACCACAGCACCTCGAACAGCCCTTCACAGCCAACACTCGGCCTCTAAAATTCCTCCAAAAATTCCCGAATTCAATCCTACGGCCCGCTAATCAATCCAGCCCTTAATTTCTACCAACTCGTGTCTAAACGGGTCCGAAAATACCCGATAAACTAGGCGAGGTTTAGGTTGAACTTACCCGACTCTAGACTCACGCAGCTAGAGTGAAAAGCGGTGGCGATCGACGGCGATGTTGCGGCGGCGACGGTGTACGGCTCCCGGCGGCGGTGATCGGCTCACGGTGGGGCGGCTTGGCTCACGGCCAAGGGAAAAGAAACTGAGAGGGAGAGAGAGAGAATGGCGGTGAGGTGGCGTGAGGGTGGGGCGACGGATCGGCGGCGGCGCGGCGGTGGGCGATGCGGCGGCGACGGCGGGAGGGAGAGAGAGAGAATTCGGGAGGGAGAGAGATGGAGGGGAGGCTCACGATGGGGGGGGGTGACCGAATGGGGGAGAGAGAGAGAGAGGAGAGAGAATGGTCTAACTTAACTTCCAAGTTTTGACCAATTTTGCCAATTGACCGAAATACCCCTCTCTCACATTTTGATCCAACGGTCCAGATTCGATCTAATCTTGGAATCGACGGCCCAGATCGAATCTCATCCAAAATATCTAAGGGCAATCTTGGAATTTCTCAAAAAGTCCAAGGGCAAAAGTGTCTTTTCCAAATTTTGGGGCAAAATTACCAAAATGCCCTTGCTCCATAAAACTAGCCCTTTAGAAATTCCCAAGGGTAAAATGGTCACTTTCCCATTTTCTTGCCGAAATTGAATTTTTCTGAAGGATTCGGGCACATCCAAAATTGCACGTTCCAACCACAACGTCGTCCTAACGTTCTGCCGTGACTTCCTAATTTTCCGATGTCCAATTTGGGCTTTAATTAATAATCGAATTTCATAAATCCCAAATGGGCAAAATTTCAAGATGTCACGGGATGAACCTCAATCCGAGGTTGTGAGGGCTCGGCGGCAGCCTCCATTTCCAATCACGGGGAGGTGTCAGTGAAGAGGAGAGAGAGAGAGAGAGAGAGAGAGAGAGAGAGAGAGAGAGAGAGGTGCGCGCTACCGCCTTCGCCGCCCCTGGCTCCGCTCTGGCCGTTTCAATTAGCTCGATCCCGGCTTCAAGAGTCGAGACCTTCTCCGAATCTTTAATGCTCGTCGTGACCCATCATTGGCATCATCACCCCGTCCACAACTTGGCGGGGTACACTGCTACCCTCACTAATAATTGGGCCGAGCATCGGCCGGCATCATCCTCGTCATGTGGCTCGGCTTCTTCACTCTCAACTTACCACCATGCCCAGATGTTGTGCGATGAAACTCCCCAGCCGCAGCCGCATCCACTGCATCATATCTCGCATCTCCATATCTAGCTTTTCGTCTTCAAACTCATCCGAGTGATCACAGCGGCGTGGGATGGCAGCTTGAGGCGGCGAGGGGTGGCGGACAAGGACAGAGGCGCACACACGAGCGGCGGCGGGGAGAGAGTTGTGCCCAACCGCGAGCTTCCTGTAATTTCAAGCGGTGTAGTACTCGGGATTGATCTCCAGGAGCTTCGCGCGCATGTCGAGAGCCTCCTTCGTGTATCTGAGAGCAAAATCGCATCACTAAAACACCCGATCAAAATCGTTCCGGTGATACGACGCTTTTGATCTTTTCAGCGAGAGAGATTGTGCATGTGATGTGGTTGCGGTGCTTAGAGAGAAACCGGGATTGAAGAGCTGTTAGCTTCTGGACTTTGGCTGTTGATGCTGCTGCATCTTCCAGCTTCGGAGCCGTCCGAGGCCAGCCATGAATATTTTCCGGCACAGAGAGAGAGAGAGAGAGAGAGAGAGAGAGAGAGAGAGAGAGACGAAGTGTGAACTTGGAATCAAGAGAGGCTTTAGGATTAAGGAAGAAGCTGTTGAACTTGAATCCGAGTCTTCTGATCAGACAAAACTCAGAGAGAAACGTGGGACCCATGATTTTGGCATTTCTGTCATTCTAACCTTAAAGTTATTCCATGTATATGTACTTTGGGCTTACCACAAAGAAACAACCGATCCACGCTATTCTTTTTTTTTTTTTTTGGTAAGTACCACGCTATTCTTTTTCTTTGTTGCAAGTTATGCTATTTCATCTGGTGGATAAACTGAGCACGAAGTAACATGGAGATGCCGTTGGCCTTGCTATATATTCATCCCTGAAGTTGATCATGAGGCACCACCAAACCATTGTCTCCCAACAAAAGCATCTGCTCTGCAGCCTCCTCTCAAACACATCTCAGCCCCCGCTTTTGCCTTTGGAAATGGCGGAAGCAGTTCTCTTCAGCCTTGCCACTGACATACTGAAAAGCATCGCCGCCGAAATGGCGAAACCTGGAGGTTCCTTCGCTTCTCAGAAGATCCAGTTGCTCTGCGGTGCCAAGGACGAGCTCGAAAGCCTTAAGGAAACCGTCCAAACCATCCAAGCTGTGCTTTTGGATGCCGAGAAGCAGGAATGGCACAACAACCAGGTCAAGCTCTGGCTCAAGAGGCTCAAGCACGTGCTGTACGATGTACAAGACTTGCTTGATGATGGCGCAACCGAAGATCTGAGGCGGAAGGTCACTTCCGGCAACAAGATGTTAAAAGAGGTACGCGTTTTCTTCTCCAAATCGAATCAGCTTGCTTACCACCTCAAAGTGGCTAATAAGATTCAGGAACTTAAGAAGAAACTAGATCGGATTAAAGAAGATAGGAAGTTCCATTTAGAGGAGTATCAGAGTGAGGAAACAATGGCCGTGAGGAGAGGAAAGAAGACAGTACTTTTCGCACCTGATAGCGAAATAATTGGTAGGGAAGGAGACAAAGAAATGATCAAACGACTTCTGTTTGATTCCTCCTCTAGCCAGAGTCTGTCAGTTGTTTCCATCGTTGGTATAGGAGGCCTTGGAAAAACCGCACTTGCACGACTAGTATTCAACGATGTGGAAGTAACAAAACATTTCGGGCTTAAGATGTGGGTGTCTCTATCTGAAATCTCTGATATGGATTTGATTTTCAAAGAAGTTCTTAAATCTGCGAAAGATGACCGTCAAGGGCATGATGATGAGATGGAACAGTTATTACATGATCTTGAGAATAAGCCTATAGGCCAATTGCCGAGTCTTATTCAAGAGACTTTACGTAGGAGGAAATGTTTGCTTGTTTTGGATGACTTGGGGAATGAAAACCGGCTTGAATGGTCAAACTTTAGAGATTGGCTAAAGAGTGGTGTACCGGGAAGCAAGATACTTGTAACCACTCGCAACCACTCAAAAGCAATGGTTATAGATGCGAAATCAGTTGTCCATAATCTAAAAGGCTTATCTGAAGATAAGGCATGGGACTTGTTCAAGAAAATGGCTTTTGGAGATGGGGAAGAATCATTAGACTCTAAATTGGAGGAGATAGGTCGAGATATTGTTAAAAAATGTGCTGGTGTTCCCCTTGCCATCAAAACAATGGGTAGCCTTCTATACGCCAAAAAGGAAAAAGAGTGGCCCAAATTCAAAGAGCATGAACTTTCAAAAATAGATAAGTCGGAACACGGAATTATGGAAGTCCTCAAGCTTAGTTACGATCATCTTCCGTCGCATTTAAAACATTGTTTTGCATATTGCGCGTTGTTTCCAAAACATTATGTCTTTGATAAACAGACAATGATACAACTCTGGATGGCACAAGGCTTCATTGAGTCATTGGAGGGGAATGAGGACCTAGAAGAGACTGGGGATAGTTATGTCTCGGACCTACTAAGTAGGTCCTTCCTCGAATTTGAAACGGTTGATGATTACACTGGTGAGGTGAAAATGTTCAAGATGCACGATCTCATGCACGATCTTGCCTTGAGAGTTGCAGGAGATGAGTGCAAGATTGTTAATCTAAATGAAGGCAGCATCAATGGGGGAATTCGACATGCATCATTTGCTTCACAATCATCCTCACCACAAGAAGTGACCTCTATTTTTGAACCGAACAATCTACGAACATTTCTCTCCCTGAAAGAGAGCAGAACATTTGTACAGAATGGGATTCTCTCCAAGTTTAGGCATTGTCGAGTGTTGGGCTTGGGCTATGCGCATTTTGGTATCCCTACTTCCTTGGGAAGTCGGTCGAAGCACTTAAGATTTCTTGATATTTCCGAAAACCTATCCATGGAGAGTATGCCAGATTCAATCACAGATTTGGTGAACTTACAGACCCTTAAACTCTGCCGTTGCAAGAGTCTTAAAACACTTCCAAGAGATTTGAGGAAATTGATCAACCTGAGACACCTCTTAATTGATGGATGTGACTCACTAAGCCACCTGCCATCCCTAAGTGAAGTCCCTTCCCTAAAGACGTTGAATCTCATGGGCTTGGATGCGTTGGAGTTCCTTCAAGAAATAAGTTACCCAGAGCATTCTAATACTACGCGGCCCTTCTTCCCATCTCTGGAGAGACTATCCCTCCTCGACTGTCGCAACCTAAAAGGATGGTGGGGAAGACGGCTGGAGAGACTATCCCTCCTCAATTGTCGCAACCTAAAAGGATGGTGGGGAAGACGGCAAATGGTGGGAGCAGATCAGGATCGTGCACGGTACAATCCACAATCATCCTTCCCAAAACTTTTGTCTGCAGCAATATTGGGCTGTCCACACCTGAATTCAGTGCCACTGTTCCCCTTGATAGAATACTTGAACATTGCTAGCGCGGAGTTGTTGGAACAAGTGATGGCCGTTCTAGATTGTCCATCAAAAGCACCAGTGGAATCCACGTTCATCCCTCTCTCTAAATTAAAGGGTCTACATTTTGCTGGTGGTGATTTGGAGCACTCAATGCTCGAGACTTTACTTCCGGTGCTTAATAATCTCCAGTCCATGAGCCTCAATGATTGCACCAAACTAAAGAGTCTCTCTCGTGGCATGCAGTACCTGTCCTCACTCCAGCACCTCGTTATTGGTGCTTGTGAAGAACTCGATTTGTCGAGCCACGATGACGAGCATGGCACCCAGTGGCGATCTCTCGTGAAACTCCGCGTTCTTAGATTCATACAACTTCCGAAACTGGTGACATTACCGGAGGGGATTCAACATGTCACTACTTTGCAATTTCTCGAGATTGAATTCTGTGACAATCTGACGAGTTTGCCCGAATGGATTGGTAATTTCTCTTCGCTCGAAATGCTTAAAATTGTTGGCTGCAAGAGTTTAAGGCGTTGTCCTGAAGGGATTGTCCACCTCACCAACCCAGAGGAGAAAGTTAGAGTCATCGGAAATGTCCCGCTAGCGGTAAGTCTAGACACCATTCTCTCAATTTCAAGTAGTTTTGTGCGAAATTAAAATATTAAAGCCCGTCACCACCAGGCGGAAGCATTTGGGGTCATGTGAAAGTAGCGGATTTTTGTTTTGAATTGCGCGTGCTCACAGAGAAGAAGAGAGAACTAAAATAAGGATCTTGCGCCTTGGAAGAAAAGAAACTCCTATGACGTTAGTTACTTGTATCTTTCTGTTTTGGTTTTGGAACTTTTATTTGCGGAAGAATATATTTTAAAGCAACCGTATATTCCTCCTCACAAATTTCACTTTTGGTAGTTTTGCACCTTTTGGGAGTTGGCTTTGCAAAATATATTGTCTTGCGCACGTTTTCTGAATTTAAGACAAAATACCCGCTAGTTTGGAGTAAAACGAATTATACATGTATAAAACACATTTTGTATTGTATTTAGGTAAATATAATTCATGTTTTACTCGTTTTATACGTTTTTGTTAATCAAATAAATATGCGACATGTCAATTATAACATGTAATCGCGGACTTTGCACTTATAATTACATCTTCTCGTAGTCATATAAGCAAATATAATATTGTTTTAGCATGACATTAGGTAGCACGAGGTAAAAATAAAATCAATTGTCATACGCGATATTTTTATAAAAAATTACGAACAAGATAGGTATGTTTTTATATGCAAGTTTTACTGACCGGTTTGTAATGCAATTAATGTTGGATTTGTGATAACATTATTTTCAGGCTTAATTTCAATAGTACCGATATAAAAGAAAATTTATGTTTTATACCCGTCCGTATAGCGCAATGTTTAACTTCTACCCCATGAAAATGGCAGGACAACTTCTTCTTGCAACTACTTACTTCTGTCTTCAGACTCGACTTGCTCGATGATATCCCCTGTGGCGATGCTGCATATTGTTAAAATATGGGGGCAACTGCCCCCACTCAAAAGTGGAAGTCCCTACTTATACGAGATTTGGCAAGTGACTTGACTCGGCGCTTTTACTACTCAGCTCGAAGCTACAGTTCAAGGGAAGTGACGAGAGGATCGTAACGCTTTTGCTTGTCAGTTCTGTGGCGACGAACTATTTCATGGTAAGTCTCGGCTCACCATGCGGAAGCATTTGGTGTCATGTGAAAAGTAGCGCACTTTCGTTTTGAACCGTGCGGGTCTACAGAGGAGAAGAAAAGAACTAAAATTAAGGATGTCGTGCCTTGGAGAAAAAGGAAGCCCTATCACGTTACTTGTGACTTTTTATTTTCCTCGTGTCGATATATTTCGGTGCATTCGTATATTCCTCATTGTAAATTTCATCTTCTATTGTTTTTGCCCATTTTTCAGAGTGGTTTTGTACAGTATGTTGCGCTCGCAGTTCATGTTTGTTTAAGAATGTGCGTTGTGCATATTCAATCGGTCCCGGTGAAAATTTATTCAGGCCTACGGTGAAATCACCATTTGAGAGCTGAGGCGAAGAGTCGCGATCAGTGACAACACCGCAATGAAACTGACTTGTGCGGAGCTTTAAAGTGGGTAATAAGATTATCACGATCCTCTCAAAGTGAACCCCGAGAGAGTTTAATGGATTGCTAAGCGGGCATATATAACGCTTTGGCGAGTCAGTGCTTACGCTTTGCATAGACTCTCTTAAGCACTACTTACCACAACTTCATCTCAATGATTCATCGAATTTAAATTAGAGTTGCCACTAACCAACTTTGAGCTGGTTAGGAGCTGAGTACGGCATGGAGCTTGCCTTACTTCTGTGAACAAGAAATTTCGGGTACGAGGACTCGGTTACGCTAGTTTTGCCTAGTGCCTGTTATGGTACCTTTTCTCTTTAAATAATACATTATTTCATGCAATCTTTTCTGATTTTTTTTTTCCTAAACATGGAAACCTATATGGCCATGCATACCCGGGCAAGCGATAAAATGAAACAATCAGTAATAAAAACAAATAAAGGTATAAAAAATAAACAACCCGAGCCGTATCAAGCAAAGTTAATACAAGACCTTGTGAACATGTCCTGGGAGAGGACCACCGTGAGTTATGCATGAATATGCCCTAGATCTAGTGGTAACGAGTGATGCATTTATTTTCCAACAAAATCTCATGAACAAAACAGGATCGGGTTCGGATAACTACTCCTCGGGATTTGAGGAAAGGCTCGACTTATACCTCTTTAATCAAATTTTTTTTTTCTGGATCTTTCAACTTGTGATTTTGAGTAAATGGGTGTGCCCTATTCAAAATTCGTGTATGCTAAATATTAAACGATAATAAGCATATAAGAAAATCAACTAATAAAAAGACAGCTCGAGCCGTATCGTGAAATATAAAGATAAGGAAATCAACCCGAGCCATCTTGGACAATAAGTAAACATGGCCTCGTTATTATGCTCCAGGATAGGACCCGTGAGCGAAAAAATATAAAGTATATGCTTGTTCCCTAAGTAGTCAAATGTATACAAAGGATAGTGGATATGCAATTATCACATGCTAGCTATACCAGAACAATGTCCTAAATAAATAACTTTCCTAAAATGTGTCACCAAATATGGAAATAAAATTTTTCACCTAGTAATTTAACTTACACTGCATGAAATGTAATCCCCAAGTCTAGAATGTGAAATATATTTTGATAACTCATGCAAAATATTTTCCTAAGGCGAACTGTGCAGAAGAGGAAATTAAATCTAATCTAATCGATGCGCATTAAATGCAAATGCAATCCGAGAGATATTTCTAAGTGAATTTTAATGAATATGCAATCTAAAGTTACTAACATGAAAGATGTATTTTGTTGACACCTATTTTTAATTTGCCCAAAATTAATTGCACAAAATTTAGGAGTTAATTTTCTTAAATTCCTAAAACAAAAAAATATTTCTATTTAAATGCATTACATATAGAAATTAGGCACTTTTATATTAATAGGGTCTATTAGATTGTTTTAAAAAAAATTTCAAAATTTTTTTTTTCAAAAAAAAAAAAATCAAGTCGGGCCAAGTTGGTGCCGGGCCGACCTAGCCCTTTTCTTTTTCCTTTTTTCTTTCCCCGCACGCGGCCCTTCCCTTTTCTTTTTCCTTTTTTCTTTCCCCGCACGCTGCCCAGCCCTTTTCTTTTCTCTTTTCTTTTCCCCGCGCGGCTGGGCCTAGCCCGGCCCAGTTCCCCTTCTCCTTCTTCCTCCCCCGCCGAGCGTCGCTGTGGCCTCCCCTGTTTGCCCCTATTCTGGCCGCAGGGTGACGCACGGCGGCGCCGCTCTGCGCCGTCCCTATCCGGCCAGAGCAGGGCCGGGAGAGCACGCCACAAGGTCGTGGATTTGGGTGTATATTGATGTGACACATTAGGATGTAGCATATGAGTCGCGACAGCTGAGGTCGTACGAGAGGATTTATCTGATGCACGACGGAGAATTGATTGCGATGTTCGGTGTCGCCAGAGAATGACTAGATGAATATTAGATGTGCTAAGTCGTGAGTCGATTGGGGTGTATAGGGTGATCAAGGAATGAACCTTGTTGGGAAGACTCAGGGACTCGGAAGTTAAATTTGAGGTGAATCGGATGTAGAATCTGTTGACCGCCTCGAGGATTAGTTGGAAATCTAGGCCCAGAACAAGGAATGGCATTATGTGGATCACGAGATACGAAGAGTCATTGAGGTGGATGCCGATAAGAGGAAGTTGGATTTCCATATATTCGGGGATAAAAATTTTGAGGTTCTAGGAATCATTGTGTGTACCCGATGAGGTGAAACTCGAGGAGGAAAAATTTGAATGGAAATTTCCGCAATAAGTATAGTGTCCACCCGAGCAGCACTAAGATGTGTTAGGACTTGCGGCAACATTACTGGTGGAATAGAATGAGGGTAAATATGGCCAAGTATATGGCCAAGTGTTTGAAGTGCCTATAAGTGAAGACACAGCACGGTAAGCCTAGAAGGCTATTATGACCGTTGAATGGAAATGTGATATGATCCCAAGGATGTTGTAACAAGATCAAAGTGAAGTCGGAGAAAACCCGATTCCATCGGAATAGCAGTTGATAGACTGATTAAGTCAGTGTACTTCCTGACATTGTGAACGGACTTTGAGTCGAACAGATAAGTAGAGTCATCAGAAAGGTCACACGATCGGAGACGACGACTTTTAGAGCTTGAGATTGGGAACTAAGTGGCAGCCCAAGTGTTCCTCAATGGAAAGATTATCCTAATTTGACAGAAAAGGGAAGTTGACCCGAGGCATGTCAGATTGTTCGATATTCGGGAAAAGATCGGAGATATGATCTAGCAAATTGCCTCGTCGCCTAATCTGTCCTAAGTATATGATGCATCCCATTTGACGACGTCGAAGAAGTATGAACCAAATATGACCCACGTTAAGGGGAAACGGACGTGGACGATAAAGTGTCGTACGTGAAAGGGCCGATGAGGCTTGAGGACAGAAAGGATCATGGGCCACATAATAAGCCAGTCCCAGTGACCAAAGTGAATGGGAGCACCGAAGGACAGAAGGTGCCGTTTGGGAAAGCGAAGAGGCCCTATGACGTCAAACCCCCAGTTGTTTGAGGAGATAAGCTTGAATTGCAAATTTCGAGGACGAAATTTTTATAAGGGGGGAAGAGTTGTAACATCCTGAATTTCGACCCATTTCCGGGATCCGACAAAGTGGATATTATTTCTCAGTTGATTTTAGTACGTCTCGCCCGGAGCTGGCCCCTCGCGGGATACTGACCAATGGGAAAGGCTAACTAGGAAAACGGTACGTGGACCGGAGACCCGATTGCGAATCGGGCGCCGATTACGAGAAAGGGCAGGGAAGTATTTTGGGCCAGTGTGGACCGATTCTAGGAAGGTGACGGATCTGGTTTGGTCAACGACGTACGATCGGATCGCGGGTGATTCCGCTCGACCGAGAGTGCGTGTGGCAAATAAATCACGAACCTGAACCGAACGATCGTGACTCCTGGAATAACCAATAATTCCTTGCGTTCTCCCGGTAATCGAGATCGTCACGACTCGAGTGACCCTAGGTCGATACACGTAACCCCTAAAAAGCCACCCGTCAGTGAGAGGCTCTAAAATTCTATATTGAGCAATTTTGATCGCCAAATTAGACCCGAACTTCGATGTCGAAATTCTATGGGTGTTTGCGACTATTTTGCAAGGTCGACGTCATTTTTGAGTGGCCACACACATTTTGGGTTGGTACGGTCGAAAAATGGAATTTCGACCCGGGACCGGAAAATTACCGTTTTGCCCCTGGACCCTGTACTGGGTATTCCGAATTTTGGATAATTTTGGGCAATAATTGAGGATTAAAATAAGTGAATAAGGAATTGGAATTATTGAATTACCCATTTGCCCCTCAATTATTGGATTGGGCTAATTATGGACCGTTAGATCAAGGGCAAAATGGTCCGAGGGCTAGGATCGCGACACGTGACACACCTTTTTGACCCATAAGACCCCTTTGACCACTCTCTCTCCTCCCATTTTCCTCCCCCATCAGCCGTGCACTCCCTCTCCCACACCACTTCTCCTTCATTTTCCTTTCCTTATTCTCCTTCATTTTCTTCTTTGTTTGGCCGTGAGAGGCCCTCGCTGGAGGAGCTCCGCCGTGCCGCCGTGCAGTCGCCGCCGCACCACCTCGCCACCACCAGCAGTCTCATCTCTCTTTCTTCCCTTTCCTCAGCCGCGTGAGCAGCCCCCACTGTGGATCGCCGTCTGCAACCACCGCCGCTTGCGCCGCCGTGGAATCGGCTCAGCCCACCCATTTTCCCCACTTGTTCAGCCTTGTAAGGAGCTTAGGAATCCAAGTGAGTGGAAACCCTAACCCTTAATTAGGCTTGTGTGCACTTTGGACAAGTTTAAGGGTTATTAGGGTATTTTTAGGGGTTAATTAGTATGGGCTGATTTGGG